AGCGGCTAGGACTGTTTTCAGGCTTTTTGCTCAATTATTTGAGACTACATAAAAAGGGAGTCTCCACCCTGTGCCAGGCACTGCAGCCAGGAGCTGGCCAGGCGACCCTGCGGGCAGAGGCTCATGCCTGGGTGGGAGGGTGCAGTGAGCCCCACTGCGCATGGTCACACCCCGGTATGCCGGGGGCGGTGGGAGCTCAGGGGGGCGGAAGAACAGCCATTATTAGATTCCATTGCTGTACCCAAAACACCCGGGTTTTTTTGCAGAAAATATTCAGTAATTGAGGCTCCTTTGATGAGGCCTCTCATCAATTCTTATCATAAGGCAATGCCTGGAGACTGACTGCGTCCCCCCCAAATTCATGTGTCAGATGCTAATACCCAGGGTTATGGTCTTAGGAGGTGGGAGGCAATCAGGTTATGGGCGTGGAGACTGATGAGTAGGATTAGTGTCCTTGTAGAAGATACGCCTGAGCGTTTACTCAGCCCTTTCACGGCGAGAAGACTTGCTGAAAACACTCAGCCTATCAGCCAGCAAAGAGGTTCACACTCAATCCTGGCACATTGATCTTGCACTTTCAGCCTCAAGAACTGTGAGGAATACAATTCCTGCTTATAAGCCACTCATTGCGTGTGTGGAATAGCAGTCTGAAAGGACCGGGGCAGGCAATGCTTAACTTTATATACACATGTGTATCATTTCCTCTCTTTTCAGGCGCCTCTTCTTTCTCCCTTAACCTCCCCATTTCCCCATCTCAGTAGATTCCTCCTGTCCTGTCCCTTTCTCACACCCAGTTTTTCCCAAGCGGATTCCCTTCTTCTCTGGGGGGCCCCTGGGGATGGGAGGGTCTTCTTGGGGGGAGGGGCGTGGCTTCTCCGTGTGCTCTGTTGTCTCCCTTTGGGTTTCTCCAGGAGCTGCCCCCACACCAGGGTTCTGGAATAGGTTGAATTTGGGAGGTGACCCTGGAAGGCTTTGAGCAGGGGGAGTGGGGCAGAGAGGGAGGAAAATCCAGTCAGGCTGTGGTGACTGGAATGGGTGCTTGGAGCTCAGTCCACACATAGCACCTGTGGAAGGTGGGGGGCAGGGCGGTGGTCCCACAGACCCACAGTCCCCGCGGGTGAGACTGCAGGGTGTGAGGGGCTGAGGGGGCTCCCGAGGCGTCTCCTGGGGGGAGCGCGTGGGATGCGCCGGGGACCTGTGTGTTCACCACAGCGGCGGCGGAGCTCAGAGGCATCAGAAGTCAGCAGGGTGATAGCATCTCCTCATTTCATCATGTAATCTAGAGGCTACGAGGAAGGGGACTGCTATTAATCATCCCACTGTACAGAAGACAGGTAGAGGCCGAGCCAGGTCAAGGAATTGCTCGGAGGTTGGGTGCCTTGGAGTTGGGAGCGGGGTTGAGGTGGGGGCTGGGCAGCGGTCTCCACCCCTGGCTTACGTCTCATGTCTCATCTCGGAGCCTCCCTGTCCTTTGAGGAGGACAGTGCCCTGAAGTCATCGCGATGGATTGTGTGGTTAGACATCACAGGACATAGATCCTGATGTTAAAAACCTAGATAAGTGGCTCTCATCGCTTTTGGGAGACTCCAGCATCATGGCTGCATGCAGCCACAGACCGCTGGGCTGGGCTCTTCTGGAAGGTCCTGCCAGGCTGGCCAGACATTTTTCTCCCTGGACTCAGCAGAACTGCTGCTTTGGGTGATTGAATGGCTGTCGCTGCCCTCAGACTCTGCAGCCATTAAGCAGATGTGAGCTGCCTGAGGAGGCTGGGGGGAGCGGGGGAGGGGGAAGGCTTGAGGAGGGAAAAAATCCCAACAGCTTAAAGAACATGCCCATCCACTCTGTTTCTGGGAGTCACCTCACAAGGGGAGTCTGACAGCACCAGGCCCCTGCTCCAGGATGCATGTTATCTTGGGGTAGCTTCTTGTCTCAGCTATGGCTACTTGACCTGCTTAGCAAACAGCCAGCCCAGCCAGCCCCAGAGTCCCCAAGGGGCACACACATTGTTTCCAAGGGCCTGTTCTCAGACCATGGGGTGCTGAGGTCCTTCAGAGCACTAGCACCTTCCAGGTCCCTGGGGACAAGTGCCAAGAAAAATGTTGTAAGAAATGGAACAGGGATTGCACTTCTCAGCAACATGGCCACCCCTTGAGTTCGCTCTGTATTTAAGTTGGTTTGCCTCGAATGTCTGCCACTTGGGACTGGTACAGAGGCCAGGCGCTTCTGCCCTTAGGCTGACTTCCCTGTGCCCTGTCTGTGCTGTCCCCTCATTCGGTAGCTCAGCACCCCATCCCCACTGCCCAATCCCCCACCTAAGGTAGTACACAGGCAGGGGTGGGTCTGGATCTCTTCCACTGGGGGTGAACTTGCGTCCTGTGTTCCCTGGGCTGGATCAGAGTTTAAAGCCTGTTGCTATTGTGAGGGCGGGTTCCCTTCCATCTACTGTAAGCTACACACTGAGCTGGGTCATCGTGGTGTCAGTTAATCTCCAGGGCAACCAGCACCTGTCTGGGAAGAGGGCCTTGAAATTGCCCATGGAAGTACGCAACCCCCCACCCCCACCCCCCGGAGTATTCCTAGGGACTTGGGTTTGCAGATGCAGGTGCTGATTGGACTGCACCTGGTTGTCCATGAGAGCAGCAGAAAACCACTGTCTTTTCATTCTAATACAACGGGTTGAGTCTTTACTGGGCTGCCTGGTTTTGCTTGCTTGCTTGCTTGTCATTATTTTTTAATAATTTGGTGTTTCTCAAGGCTGCTTTGCGGAACTGCACTAGTGCAGCATGTGCTCATGTGACCAGCTCTGTGCTTTGGGGGAATCCTTTGGCCTGAATAACTGGCGGCTGGCTGTGGCCAAGCCTGGGCAGAGCTGACCGCAGCGGTGGATGGAGGCCAGTCAGGCCGTGCCCTGGCACACACAAAAGCCCTCCAAAAGCCCCTCCATAAAAAGCGACAGAGAAGCAGGGTCGGAGGATGGGTCATTTATTTGGATTTTTTAAAACAAAAAGAATTTATTTTTTAAGTTACAAAAAAAAAAAAAAAAAAGACAAAAAGACATTTGTTTTGGAAGTTCCACACTCTGAGAATGAGAATGTCAGGTTTCTTAAGCAAAAGTCTTAAGCCTTCTCAGCTGGCCTGCTGGCCACTGTTGTCCAGGTCTGACTGGCTCCGCATGAGCCTTGCTCTAGAACTTCCTACTCTTATCTCTTCAATGATCAAAATTTGCCTCTCAAGCCTTCTTCAACATGTCCCTTTCCCTCCCGTTTTCCTCGTCCCTGCCTTTCTTGTAAGTCACTGCTCACACCTTCTCTTGGGTGTTTTAGCTCATCAAAGCATCAAACCAGACCGCCTCCTCGCTCCCGCCACCTCATATCCCTTACCACCTGCGAAATCTGCCTCCAAAGCCTTCCTGCCAGCAACCACTCCCAGTCACCCCTCCCCAACCCCGTTTTTACCTCCAGAGAGAGTTACTTGGTTTATGCGGCACTAGAAGGGGACCTGGATTCTATCCTAATCTTACCACCTGCTTGCTGTCACGGTCTGACATATTTTCTTAATTTTAATTTCTCAGCTGTCCTGCAAAGAAATGTGGCTGCTCAGTAATAGATGCAGATGTGCCCTGGAAAGTAAAAATGCTACCAAGTGCAAGCAGGGTCAGCCTGCGGGCCCTGGGCACCAGCCCTCCATGCACGCTACCCACCAGTGGAGCACCACTGTGGGTCCCAGCCGCTCATCTGCCGTGGTGAAATGCCAGCTTTGCTGAGTGGGGTGCTAGCATCTGCAAAGCGAGGCCCCCGAGGGCACAGCTGGATTTGGACCTTTCTTTGGTGAGCTTCTGGAGCCCACAGCACCAGTAGGGTTGAGCGTGAAGTCGGCACTCAGTCTCAGAGTTGATCACTTGGTGTCAATTTCCCCAGACAGACGCACCACCTGCAGGGTGGTGCTCACTCGCCATGTCACCATGGCAGGATGTGGAAACCAGAGCCTCCTCGTTCACCCCCCTGAACGGGACCTCTGGCTGGAAGGGTGACCCTGGGCATGAGCTAGGGTCCCTGCACTCACCAGTCAACCTGCCAAAGCCCCAGATCTATGAAGCCACTTTCCCACTGGAATAAAATTCCACCCTAAATGGGTGGGAACATGGCTGTAGTCGGAAAGCTGGAAGTCAGTCAGGTGAGAATCACAATTTCCAACAGAGACACTGCCATGTCCCAAACCTATCCTGAATTCACCTGGAGCATTCACGGTTCACACCAGAGACCCTTGCTCTTGCGTGTCCAGTGGAAGACCCTCACTCCCTGGCAAGAAAGACACCTAGCAGTGGGCTCGAGGAGAGGAGCTCAGCGCTGCCCCCACAAACAGCCCTCAGTTTCAAGCCACACTCTCTCTTGGGCATCTGGAGAAACCTGCAACCCCCAAAGGAGTCATCTCCTTCTGTATTTTCATGGGAACCACAGTAAGTGGCTGCAGAAGATGTGAAAGTGAGCTCACCCCTTGCAAAGTGCCCACGATGACACATGCTATTCAGAAAATACAATCTGGTTTCTTCCCCTTCCTACTAACCCGTCCCCCACCTCTGGGTGCACCCAGCTTTATAAGACACCTGGCAAATTCACCTTCTTTTAAAAATAACCTGGCCTTTGGAGATCGCACAGGGAAATGCCACTGCAAACGCTGTGATCAAACATCAGTCACAGTAAAAACAAAACCAGTTAAGACAGAACTAGCTTGAGGGTCTTCATGTCACTCATTTCATATCGCTGGGTTTGCCTTGGCCGGGCTCGTCGATGGGCTGGAAACAACACCCCTGAAGCACCCTACCCTGGCTGACCCCAAAGAGACTGGAAAAGTCAAAGTTTTGTTTTAAGTCCATGCAGAATAAAATATATAATAAATAAATAAGTGCTTCCAGCTGTGTTGCTTGGGAGTTTCCAGCTGTGTGTGGGTGTAGGCGTCACGGTGCTCCCCAGAATGTGCAGATGGAACCTTGCTCCAATCACCCAAGACTCAGCACCCAGGGCTGAGGTCCAGCTGCCGCAGCATGTCCTGCAGAAACCCCTGCAGCCTGCTCAGGGCCACCACCTCTGTGGAGTAGAGCGAGGCTTCCAGGACACCATCCAGGCTCTCCAGGGTCTCCAGACCCCTGGCTTGGGGCAAGGGGCAGCTCTTGGAGGAGGCCAGCAGGTGCAGCAGGTCCCGGAGGTTCTCCAGGTCGTTAGCTATTTGGATCACTTTTCTGGAAGGTAGGCTGGTGAGGATCTGTTGGTAGATGACCAGTGTCTGGTCCATCTTGGACAAACTCAGGACAGGGTGGAGCCCAGGGATGAAGTCCAAGCCAGTGACTCTTTGCTTGGAGGACACGGAGTGCTGTGCAGGAGAAAGGGGAGAGCAAGCTCAGCAAGGTGGCGGGAAGTCCGTCTCTAACCTCAGGCTTTCCGGGGAGCAGGAGCGTGGGGTGGCCTCTCATGGCCGCTTCCTCCCCGTTTCTGCACTGACCAGGGCCCTTATTTCTTGTTCCCCGGGGGCAATGCCAAGCTTAAACTTGGGCATCATGTCCTCCCCTAAGCACCAGTGCTGTATTTTCAGCCCACCCACCTCAGGTGTTGACTTCTCCACTGGCCTCTGATTTCTGGTTTCCAACCAGTCGTGACTCCTTATGTAGTTCACACTCTTACCCGGCCCCTCTCATTCCTTTCCACTGCCATGGACGCCTCAGTCCTGATCAGGATCTTCAACAAGTCTCACCCCCTTTAGGAGTGAAGGTGGGGCCCCCACCAGTGTCTAGCTTCACTGCTCTGCTCCAGTAACTCTACCCCACCCCTCTGCCTGCTACAACTCCCTCCCCACCACACCCCCACCAAGAGCATACAAGTCAGGCACTTCCCAATGGCGCTTTTGAGAACAAGGACCCTTAAGGGTTTTTCTCCATGAGATGACCAGGACTATGAGTTCTGAGCTGTCCTGCTCTGGCCTTCTAATTTCTCCCTGAGGAACAAGGGTACTGTCAGGAGATGGATGTCTCTCCCTTGCCAGAGGAAGGAGCTGGCTTTTAACGTGTGTGTGTGTGTGTGTGTGTGTGTGCAAAAAATACAACTGCTGATTTTTAATAAAGGAATGTTTGCTTTGATTCTTTTGGTTTGGGGTCACTGCTTTGTCTGATGGAATCTCATCTGACCTTGTAAAGTGTGATATTGTCATCTACAGGATGTGTGCATGTGTGTAGAGATAGACGAAAGACAGATAGATAGTTACAGCATTCAGTTGATCACAATATATTTCTCTATTTCCTGCACATATTTGGTTTTCATTCAAAGCCCCTGCTTCACAATTACCCCCAAGCCTTGGAATTTTCTAAGACTGTTAAAGGTGCCTTTTGCTATGTTAATGAAGGTAACTTTTGGAGACATCAGAGCAAGGGGCTGGTTGCCAAGGAAACAACAGGAATAGAAGGTGGAACTTTCAGTCCCATCCCCTGGCCTCGGTGGAGGCAAGAGCATCTGAAAATTGGCCAAGATGGACTGCTGGGCAGGAGGAAGCGAGAAAAGAGTTCAGCAAGATGGAGGAAGTCAGTTCTCTGAAGCTCGGTCCTCCCCCAGGTGCCTTGCCAGTGGCCAAGGCTTTAGTCAGTGATGCCTCTGTAATAAAGAGTCCATAAAGGCCCAAAAGGAAAGGCTTAGAGAGTTTCCCCATTGGTGAAAATGTGAAGCTGAGGGAGAATGGAGTGTTGGGAGAGGCTGTGTAGCCTCTACCTCGCCCTGTGCACCTCTCCCATCTCTCGTTCCTGAATGATAGCAAAGCCACGACCCAGTGAGTCAGTGGTTTCCTGAGTTCATGTGCCAGTCTAGCAAGTTAATCGTAACTGAGAAGGGTGTCCTGGGAACCCCAGATTTATGACCAGTTGGTGAGAAGCACAGATAATAATCTAGGCTTGTGCTGGACACCTGAAGTCTGAGGGACTTGCAGGAAGCTCCCATCTGTAGCTGGTTAGTCAGCTGACTCCTTGAGGCTTGCCAGGAGCTGACTCATGGCATCTGAAGTGGAGGGTGGTCTTGGGGAGGAGATTAACCCCTAAATCTGTAGAGCCTGACACTATCTCTATGTAAGCAGTGGCAGAACTGAGTTGAACTCTTGATAATGTAACAAGGTTTAACCATAGATACTGAGGAGCTAGTGTAAGAATGAAGTGTAAGATTGACAGTCTTCTGGACTCTAAATAGAGACATTCTGGGCAATGGTTGAAGGCTGAGGTCTATTGAGCCCAGAGAAAAGATATAGGGCCACAGTGACGGCTGTCTGCAAATATGCAATGAGCTGTTGTAAAAGAGGGCAGACTCCTTCTGTGTGATGGTGAAAGGCAGGCGGAGCAGTAGTGGGGAGAAGCATCACAGGACTAGAGGCCAGTGCCACCAGGCAGAATGCTTACTGGGAAACACATTCTGGAGGGGACCCAGAGGCCCAGAGAGGCGCTGCTGGGGTCTGGCCAGCTGCCAATGAGACATAGGGACCTCGATGGCCCCTCTAGTCTTAGGCACTAGTGAGGGTAAGGAAGGGAGGGGATGAAAAGAGCCAGTACAGGCGTCAGCCAGCCTCAGAGGGCCTAGTTTCCTCATGGCCAGGCCACTGTTCTACTTGATCTCCCAGACTCTCCCTACCGTGTGTGAAATGTCACTGATCCTGGTGACAATCGTCTTGATGAGGGTTTTGGTGTCATCCTGGACTTTTCGGATGGGCACAGCTTCGATGTGGGCCAGATAGGACCAAAGCCACAGGAACTGGCACAGAGATGCACAGCGCATTTTTCCACCCAGGATGTGTCTCTTGGGCCTGAAAACAGAAGGAAACGGACTTTGTATGTTGCTGGTCTCTCAGGAAATACCCATCTGCCCTGTGACCCACCCCATTATCAGATGATGTGGATAAAAAGGAGGTTTGCTCTCCGCCCTGGCTCTCTGCTTCTCAGTGTCAAAGACAATTCATTATCCAGAGATATTTTATAAAATGCTTTCCCTTGGGGAGAGCCAAGGCTTGATCGATAAAACCATGATGAAGTGTCCCGAGGACCGCAGAGCAATAAGCCAGGGCTTGGGTAAATGGACATCATGGTGATGATGGGACTTCATCTCATGCTTCAGAGAAAGCAATGGGCTTCTAAGATCTGGTTTGAATCCAGACACCCACAAGCGAGCGCATAACTGCAATCCTTTGCAACAACTTATCTCCAGGCTGTTGTTATGAAGATCGAATTCGATAATGCATGTGCAAAAGCCTTAAAGGTGTTGAGAAAGGTGCTCATTATTTCCCTAATATTAGGGAGGCTGTCGCCTTCCTCTGCATGACTCCCGCAGCAGCCAGGTGCTCCTGATGGCGTTTCCACTTGCTTCATGACTTCCCTGCTCTCCCCCTGGGAAGCTGAATCCAACCAGCATTTCCAGAAGGTCTGAGAATATGTCAGGAGCAGTGCTAGGCACCGTTCTCCAGGGTCGAACACTAGATGTTCTCTACTCTCAAGTTGCCTACAGTTTAACTGGACAGATAAACAACTAAACAGGCCATTCTAACTTAGGAAGCAGGAGCTTTGAGAGAAAGTGTAAACTATTGAAGGAACACAAACAGGGCTCCCTGGAAGAGGTGTTGCCTAAGCTAGACATTAAAGACTGAGTAGGTGTTTTTCAGAGTAGAAAGAGGTTGCCATGCATCAAGAAGTGGCTGGTTCAGCTCATGGGTGTCTGGGTTCAAACCAGATCTGCCTGTAGGCAAAGAGAATTTATACCAAGGTCTCCTGGAAGCCTCGAAACTTTCAAAGTCATGGAACCATGGATTCTAAAATTAATAATATGCAGATACTTGATTAAGCAGCGAAGTTTTGATGAGATACATGAGGCAAAAGGTATTAACATTAAATGCATTCGAGTCTGTGACCAATGATCCATGCTAAGCCTTTGTGGATGGGTCTGAAATAATAATCAAATGTAAGTAAATATCAGGATGAAGGTTCTGGAGATGCTAAAAAGTTTCTCTTTGCTTTCTGTGTCCTGCTTCATCTGGGTGTTGATCAAAACAGGTAAAACACTTTCTGCCCATAGGTGGCAATATTAGTATAATTTATGTTCTGGCAAGAAAATAGAAATAAGAGATCTGTTTAGATGCCATTTATAATGCTTGATCAAAGGTATGTCTTTTTTAAATCTGAATTTCATAGAAGAAAAAATGAGATCAAGAAGATGAGTTAAATTATCCAAAGTCGAGGCCCACCCTGTGGCTCAGCAGGTTAAATGCAACACTGCCAGCTGGCCACAGCTGCTTCAGTGCGAGTTGGATCCCTGCCCCATAGGTGACCCACATGGTGCGGCCTACCTCTCCTGACCCGCCCGCTGCTCCCCTCAGCAGTGTACTTCATTAGTCTGCCTATTCTGCTCCCCACTCTGTCTCTGGTGAAGCCTCTCACCACCCCTGCACCTCTGACCTGTATCTGCATGCATAAATAAATAAATAAAAAGAAAATATAAGAACGCTTTACTTTAAAAAAAAAAAAATTACCCAAAGTCAAACAGAGAGGCAGTAGAGGCAGGGGACCCACAAAAGGCTACCAAACCCAGAAACACTGGGTGCTTTCTAAGGCCCTCATTGTCTCCAGCCTATCAGGAGAAGCCCAATGACAAATGACTCAGGGGCATTTGCTGGGAACATGGTTCTTTGGAAAGAATAACCTGCTTGAGGGTGAATTTACAAGAGCCTCACATCAGCCTCACATAATAAAAACAGTAAGCAATTCAAGAGTTCGCACTTCACACCCCTTTGTGTTCATTTTCACTCTTACAGGGTTAAAACTCCCTCTAGTTGCACCTTATTGCCTGTGTAAACATTTTCACCAAATAATGGGGGCCAGCCTGCCATGGCAGGCCCACAAGGTCCTCAGGGAGTGGGCTCCTGCAGCTCCCACCTCCACCAGCCCTAGGGTGAGGCCTCACCCCGCCATCCAAGGGGACCCAGCGCCAGCGGCTGTGAACACACTTCAGCCACTGGGCTGGAGAGAGGCACAGACACCCACCGCGAAAACTGCCACACACACGTCCACCTCCACTTCTGTGGTGGAATTTAGTCTCTGGCCAGACCTCGTTGGGAGAAGCTGGGAAATGGAGCTTTGATTCTGGACAGCCTCTGCAGAAGACTTGGGAGTTTTGCTACTTGGCAGGAAGAGAGAAATAGATATTGGAGACAACTAGCAACCTCAACTAGTGTGAGCGTGTGTGAGCGTGCCCTGAGGGGGAGGGGGTGGACCCCAGTCTCCCCATCACTTTCGTGTCAGATGGGCCTGAGACGCTCTCCCACGGGCCGGCTCCTCTCAGGCGGACTTGACACTCAGCACTAGCATCTCGACTTCACTGTTCAAGAAACTGCAACTTATTTTAAGCCTCCACTGGTGCATATTAGCAGTGGCGAGGGGGCTAGTGAAACTCTTCTTTTGTTTGGGTAATAGAGGCTCACCATTATGCGAGAGCAACTGTAACCAGAAAAAATCTGGTAATGAATTTTCTGGGGGGAGGAGAGTGCCATTAACATGCGGATTCTAGAAAAGGATGAGACTCAATCTTGGGCTACTGGAGCAGGACCCAGAAATACCAGGCGCCCCGCTGAGATGGCCCAGGGGAGGCAACAGGCCACATGCTTGACTAGGGGTTGGCTCCAGGTGGTGGTGCCCAGCCTTTCAAGCCCTGCCCAGTAATTACACAATTCGAAGCAAGTTCACCCCTCCACGGCCACCCTCGGCATGCACGCCCTGCGCAGGGGCTTTACAGAGACATCGCATCTATCTTTTTGGACCAGGTGATATAAGTTTCATTTTACCAGTGGAAACTGATGCTTTGAGGAAGATAAGTGTCTTGTTCACAGACATAGGTAGTAAGGCAAAGCTCACAGCTAAGGCCTCTGGGCCTAACCCCACCCTTCCAACTGCCATAGGGCTTCATGGAACCCTGTGGGGACAATACACACAGTTTAACTGTGTTCTACAAAGGCCCTAGACTGTGTATCTCTGGCCTTGTGCTGTGACAAAGATTTAAACTTTGTCTTCATAAAACCATTGTTATTTTAGGTCTCTACTAAATGCAGCAAAATTTAATGCTAACAATTTATACACCAAGGCATGGACATCAGAAAAGAGCGGTCATCAAGTATTCCCAAGCTCCTCTGTAGGTACCTAGGTGGGGCCCGCCAGAGCCTGAGGAGGGTTGGGGGAAATGGCTAGGAAGAGCAGAGTTTAGGGCCTTGGGAGGGAAGGGATAGCCCCAGAGACCGAACACCACCTCATTCCACTTCACACCTGACTCCTGTCGTTACTCATTTACTTGGTGGATGACCCCTAATGTATACAGACCATCTACTGTGAGCTGGACACAGATGGAGACCCACAGCCACAGGCCAGTGGGGTTGGGCTTGGGGAGAGAGGGGGCTGAAGCCTGGTGGTTTCCCAGGAAACTCAGGTAGTGAGGTATCTGATGTTGCTGTCTACTTATACATATTATTTGTTAAAAATAAAAATAAAGAACTGGCTTAGGAATGTATGTAATTAAAAAAAAAAAGAATCTACGTCATTATCTACAATTCATACAATTCAAAGAAGAACCACGAAGCAGGCAAAATGCCCTGGGGCCTTGGCTATCTTCTTAGCTAACATATGATCAGTTTTCTTAGTTATAAAATGCTAATGATAAAAATCACAATTCCCACCTGTGACTGTGGGGGCCAGCTCGCAACACACAGGAGCTGTTTTCACCACTACATCCTGCCTAGCCATCAAGGCAGCATCTTGTGGGCGGCATTTGATGAGGACCCAAGAGTGGGGAAGAATTGGGTTCGTGGAGATGGAAGAGGGGGACTGAGATGCCACACTGGATTTATGCCAAGTGGAA